AGGGAAGGAAGGGAAAGCCAGCAAGTGTGGCTCTGGTTCTCACGGAGTTGCTCCATCCTGCCACAGCCCTGCTACCTCGATGGGCTGAATCCTCTGAAACCGTAAGCCGGAATGAACTTTTCCAACTCAGAATGGTGTCTGTCAGGCATTTCTTCACAGTGAAGCCAAAGTCACTGACACAGAGACACTTAATGCAAGCCTGCAGCAACCTCCTGCCTTCATCCATCTCACACTCAGCTTTCCCGTCAGTGACTCCTGAGAGACCCCCACCCCAATCCCTCACACCGAGGCTTTCAAGATGCCTCGGACCCTTTTCCTAGGATACCCTTTCCAAGCTAACTTTACCTGGCCCTGTAAGACTCAGGTAGGTCTCCACCTGTCTCACTCTCCACAGAAGTGGGACACGGGTCTCTGAGGATGGGCAGGGCACTGGCTGCTACGAGCTAAGTCTGTGCCTCTTCCCAGCTCTGCCCCAAGAGTTCTCAGGCATCTCTGGTCAGCATCGGGAACGGCACCGAAGGAAGAAACAGACCCTGTGAATCACCAGGGTCCCCCTACTGCAGCCTCGTCATGGACCTCTAGTCTCCAAACTGTAGATGACCACCTGACCCCTGAAGTATTGCCTGGAGGGTAGGAATTGGTCCTATCCTGTAGCCCAGAGTATAGTCAAGGTGGAACACTTCAGAAATATTTTGAATGGATGAAACAACTCTCAAGAGTTGACCAGTCTCTGCTGCAGACCCCAGCTTGATGAACCACAAATGTCTCAAGAGCCACCTGAACCTTCCTGTCCCCTGCCAGGCACACAGAAGTTTTAGCTACTGCTTGTCAGTGGAATTTAGGCCTCCTGGGGAAAGAGGGCTGTGACAGAAGCCCAACTATTTGTTTGGGCCATAAGTTAATTGTGAATGTTAGTCCCTGGTTCCAGACATCTGCAGTACACAGCCGTGATGCTGTTCCCAGGTTTAGGCAGATGAAGGGGGTCTGCTTAGCTTTTCTCCCATCAGCTAAAGGGAAGAAAATGCAGACAGGAGAATCCCTAATGGACCATGAGGTCTTTGTCCCAGGTACATTTGTGCCCAGAAGACCCTCTTTGGCCCAGGTTCTCTAAGGTCACATCATCCAATGTTGGCTACAGAGCATTAAAGAGAAAAGGAGGCCATGTGCAGAAATGACCACGTCAGGCTGAGGGGCGAGAACAGGGGCTGAGTTCAAGGTCAGGGGTGACCTCTCCTTCACCACCTTTCATGGGCTCCTCTGACGGGGACAGTGCAGACCCAGCCTGTGGGATGCCACAGGGACAAGTCATGAAATAGGTCCCACTGTTCCAGCCCAGGGCTGTAACTAAATAAGACTGAAAACAAGGGGCAGTCATATCTCAGGCAGGTGGTTTAGCCTCTGGGCACCTCCATTTCCTGACCTAGAGAACGAAGACAAGAACAGAGCCCACCTCGAGTGGAGGGGATAAAAATGAAGTCCGGGGTTTGTTGTTGCGCTGGATCGTGAGCTGGCATTAGTCCAGCTGGTCATGCTGTCACTCCAGGTGGGGACTGTGTGGAGGTGGGAATGGCAGGCAGCAGAGAAGCAGGGTAGGGAGGAAGGTGAGCAGCTAGTGACAGTCCCTCCTGCCCAGGACAACAGCAGGCCTGGCTCGTGCGCCCTGCCTGGGCCCAAAGTCTCTGCTGGACTATGAAACGTGTGCCGGCCATCGGGTAACAGGCCAGCGCAGCTGACCGCCAATGGGCTATGTTGACAGCCTGATGGCAGCTGGTGATTTACCAGTGGGTGCAGTTTGCAGGACCCTGACCTGGGTCATTGACCATCTGACCCATTAGGCCGGTGAAACATGAGCATTGCTTGCAGGTAGATGGGAGGCGATGCTGCTGCAACCATTACCAACCCAGCCGTGGGCCTCCCAGGTCGAGGGCAGCTTTCTCGGCTCCTCGCCCTTGCACCTTTATCAGTGTGGGGAACTGGGACTCCCCAGAGTGATGGGAGGTCACAGCTGGGGGCAAGTGAGCCCCATTTCCTCCCAGCTGGGCTGACCTCCATCTGCACTCTTGATGTTCAGAAGGAGAGCACTGACCACAGGGCCATCCTTCCCACCCAGACCTTGCACCTTCCAGGATAAGTGAGCAAAGCCCTAAAGATGTTGCTAGCTTTTTGTTTACCCTGGTCTGTTGGTTTTCCTTTTGACCCTAGGTTTATTGGGCACATCTCTAATGAGCTTTTCACTAAATGCTCTAGCCTGACACCAAAGTGTACAGGCCCAGCCCTTCCCCGTGTTTCAGGGAAGCTTCCAAGAATCTGCTATAATTAGACACCAATTAAATTAGAAACCATTAATATGCCTCTTGGAAGGCCTCCAGTACCCAGAGCCTCTGGCCCTATCCACAGTCACGATGGAAAGGCATCCCTGCTAAACCCACTGTCCCGAAGTAAGATCAGAGCTGTGGGCCTAAGAAGGCGTGTGTGTGTGTGTGTGTGTGTGTGTGTGTGTGTGTGTGTGTGTGTGTACGCCCAGCACAGTGGGCTTCCATCTGACCTCTGCTGCCTCAACTCCACCCTACCCGTTAGGACTGTAGCCACCCTCTCAAGCCTATAGGCTGGCTCCCCCCGCCCCCTGCCTGCCCCAGCTTGCTCCTTGCCAGAAGGAAAACACCCAGCAAGTTCACAATTGAGGACAACCTGGGTACTTTCATCTTGCCTCACAGGACTGAGGTGCAAAAGAGTCTGGAAGCCTGGCCATTTCTGGCAGGCCACCCATACACAGCAGTGATGGGTGAGGCAACCTTGAGGTACCTGAGCCCACAGAAGACCCAGACCCTGTCCCCTCAAGGCCTCGCCAGTGACCCTAGCCAGGTCTCCCCAGACTCTTGTAGAACGCCCATCCTCAGACAGCTTTAGGAAACACACTTCTCCCCAGAGTGAAATAGCTCTGTGGTCTTTTTCTCATCACAAAGGTCACAGAGTGGAACTAAGCCATCCACTCGAGTCCTTGGTCCATGGCTGCCTCTACACGCCCCTACTTCCCACCCAAACCAATTTCTGCCGTAAGGCGAGGGTGTTACTCAGGCCCCACTCTTGTGTGTCCGGGCATTGTCATGGCCACAGGCAGGGAGGTCTTCTGCATGAAGTCTTTGTCGCTCAGCTGTGCACAGTTGAGCCCTGTGTGGTGCTCCAGGGAACTGAAGCACGTGTAGTCTTGTCCTAGGGCTGGAGGCCAAACCCAGGGGTTCACACATGCAGGCCTGGGGTAGGGGGTACTTAACCACTGAGCTACACCCCCAGCCCAGAATTCTGCTGTTTGTTTACTGTGGCGATAAATAAGAGTGACCTCTCAGAATCCCATTCACCATCCTTACACAGGAGGGTGAAGACTGACTGCTCCCTGGGGGAGGAGGCAGAAAGGCTGGACAGGACTGCTCAGGAAGAAAACAGGCCCTGAAAGCTATAAGTTCCAAGCTCATCAGATACGGACCCTACCTGCCTCCTCTCTGCCTGGTTACACCTTGGGTGTTTCTCTCCTCAATGTGCCCTCTGATTCTAGAACCCAGACCAAACAGGACTTTAAATCTGCTGGGATCGGAACGTAGGGGCCGAAAGTCCAAACGCTCAAGGCCTCCCTGACCCTGCCCGGCTAGCCCAGCTCCCCTCTCCTTCTCAAACTTATTTTCAACACACCAACAACCCTTTGGCTGCTTTTCTCGGTGTCTTTAGAATATTCCTACAAGGAAGAGGAAAGAGGAGAGGGTAGGGGGACAGAGGGAGGAGGCGGTTTCCAGGTACCACATCTGCTTTGAGCCTCCTTACCCAGCCCTCTTTTGTGTGCTATTGAAAATTACTGATTCCCATGACCAACCATAAGGACAAGAGAATGTGGGATAAAAGATCTAGGGGGTTCCTGTGGGATCAGTTTGATTTGAGCCTCAAGTCAGCACTGGATTCTAGAAGGTTCCTAGTATCCTCTACCTCCCAGAGAAGGTGATGTTTGTCATTAATTTACCCCCCAATGCTAATATGGTGGCCATAGTGCAGCACCCAGGAAATCCAGCAGCTCCCACATGCACATCATCTCTTGCTAACATGTAGGGTGATTAATACTCATACCCCCAGGTAAAATAGCTTGGCCTGGGAACACGAGTCCCAGTTGATAGTGAAAAGGTGACCAGGTAACACTATGACAGAGCAGCGTACTACCGCAGCAGTTGGTGGAAGCATGTGAACCCCTGCATGATGGCATGCTCTATACTTTAAATAGTTGTATGACCTTGGACCAGTCACATAACCTCTCTGCCCTTCAGTCGTTTCAATTATAAAAATCAGGTGGCTAAACTGCATTATCTCACTCACCCCCTGTAGTGACTTCCCAAAGAAAGGGAAGACCCTTCCAGTGGGCTGTGAGAGCAAAGAGGATGGACTAGACCCCAAGATCCTTGTTGTCCCGGCTCTCAACAGGCAGCCCGGGGCACCTCACAGTGAAAGCTTGCACACGGCTACTCTTTAAAGTGGAGAGCATGGTAAAGGCTAGCCCCCAGCTCCCAGCTTAACAGCAGACCCCATTTGCTCAGCCTTCCCTCTGGGGGGGTCTTTCTCGGGCATAGTGTGATGCTGGGGAGGGTACATGAGCCGTCTTCAGGGTCATCAGCCTGAAGCTTAGCTTAGCGCCTGTCTATTCCGGTGGTTCTCAACCCTCTTCATACGGCGACCCTTCAATCCGGTTCCTCCTGTGGTGGGGACCCCTACAATTATTTTGTTGCTACTTCATAACTGTAATTGTGCTACTGTCGTGAATCGTAATGTAAGTATCTGATATGTAGGATAGCTGATATTTGGACCCCCCGAGGGGTCGTGACCCCCCCCCATTGAGAAAGAATAGACCCCCTTCTTTGGGGTGTGCCCTTCCCCATGCTGTCTGCGGGAAGTCACCTTCATCCACTGAGACACGGTGAAGATGAAGGCAGCTGGAACACCTGGTACAGATGCAATGTGTCTTCCAGGTGCGCTTCCGGGAGATCATGGCCCACATGGGGGACTGCAGGTGGATGTCCTGGCTTCCGGTGCTGGTGGTAAGTTGTTCTGAGTGCCTGCTCCGACTGTACACGGACTTCAGCACCTGGAGGGCGGGGCCTTTCCCTCGGGTCTCAACCCTCACTAGCTGTTCCACCTCAGAACGCCCTTTACAGCCTCCTCCACCCAGCTGTCAGGAGAGGAGGGGGACAACAGCACCCCAGTTCTAACTGGACCATTTACCGGGTACTCTCTTCACCAGGCTTGTAGATAGAAATGTCTCTCAATGCTTTTCAGTGATGCATTAGCCTGTGTGATGGGCCCACAGCTAAAAAAGATCAGGAAGTTCCTGCCCCCTTGAGTCCCTCCTGGCGGTGGGGGCTGGGACACCACAAGACCAAAGGACCAGCCCCTGCATTACCTAGATGTCTAGAGACTCAAGGGAAGGTATGCCTCCTTCATGGCCTTAAAAGAACCCAAGGCTTAGAATGAGGATGAGTTTGAACAGCATGACCAGAGGAAGGGACTGTAAGGATGGCTGTGGATGGGAGGGGGCGGGGGGAGGAGCAACCTCAGGCTCTCCAGGGACTGTCCCCACACACCAACGACATCTTGAGGAGGTGTGGAGGCCAAGCACCCTTTCTGTGGCAGGTGTCTCTGATGTGCTCAGCCAAGGCAGAGGAATCCAGCTGTGGCGAGAACGAATACCACAACCAGACTACCGGGCTGTGCCACCAGTGTCCTCCCTGCAGGCCAGGGGAGGAGCCCTACATGGTAAGGACTGGCCTGTGTCCCTGAGCTCTGGGGAGGTGGGGTGTGCCCACCGCACCAGCCTCCTAAACTGTCACTGAGGTCACCAAGGTGTATTCACCAGGGCTGAGGGGTAGGAGCTGCAGAGCCCAGTGCACTCCCCAGGTGTTCACGCTCCAGCTGTGCCCTCTCCAGCTGTGCACACTCCAGCGTATTTCTCAGGCATTCTGAATTCTTGCAAAAGCGTCCCGTCCTGCCTTGTTGGGCTGACAGCCTGAATTGGAAGTATGGGGGAAATGCTCTCCAGGAACAGCGCATCAATTCTGAGAGCCGGGGGCCCCTTCTGTGGAAAGGCGAAACACACATGCTCTGTGAAGCACCAGAGAAAAGTGTGGGGCAAATATCTGGGGTTCTTACAGCGTTCTGAGGAAACTCAGGCTCCCGGGCTGGTCCTCTAGTGAGGCACCCCCGGGGGAAGCCAGTGGACTTATTTAAAGGACCTCATCTGAGGCAGGAGGCTGTCTGTCACTTAGCCTCAGAGGGTAGAGGAGAGGAGCAAGCTTTAGAGAAAGAGCCAAGGAAATCAGGACGGACGGCAATTACTGTAGATTGGGCAGCCGAGGGTGGACCCAGCCGGCATGCCACTGTGCCGGCCTCTGTAGTCACATGATGTGTCCTCATACCCTCTGCCTCCCCGGCCAGTCCTGCGGGTACGGCACCAAAGACGACGACTATGGCTGCGTGCCCTGCCCCGCGGAGAAGTTCTCCAAAGGAGGTTACCAGATATGCAGGCGCCACAAGGACTGTGAGGGCTTCTTCCGGGCCACCGTGCTGACGCCAGGAGACATGGAAAACGACGCCGAGTGTGGCCCCTGTCTCCCTGGGTAAGTGTGCCGCTGAGGGGCTGACCGCTGAACCGTGAGGAGCAAGGACCCCCCCGAGAGCAGAACCCCACAGGCACAGCAGGGCCTTCACAAAGTGTCGTGCCCTACCCTTTGTCACCCTCTGCTGGGGATAATAATAGGATGGTGAGTCCTGTCGCGACTCATGGGCCAGCAACCTTCAGGTGCGGTATTTGTGGCTGATAACGGGGCATGCATCATGGCGTAGCCTGGCTGCCCAGGTAGAACACACCAGCCAAACACTCACAATGAAACAATACATGTGAAGCATTTTGGAGGGGAGAAGAAAGTCTAACGTTCACAGGAAGGTATTATGTTCAGTATGCTGGGAAAGCTGTGAGTAAAAAGCTTCTGATGTCTGTGCTTCCCACACTGCTGGGTATATCGGTCTTCCCCTCAAAATGCAAAGTGAGAATGGAACTGATCTGAAAGACAAAAAGATAAAAATCTTTCTGCTTTCCCGATAGAATGCATTAGCAAATTCTGCCTGGACTCGGGAAATTCCTATCTGGACACCAATCAATTTTAAGCCCCGCTGCCTCCCCCTAGTGGCCACAAAACATCATGTTTTGCAAGACTATGGGATGGAGGGGAAAGCATGGTGGGAGATGGGGGAGGGGATGGAAGAGATGGTGGTGGTACAGGTGTGGGTGGTGGTAGAGGTGCGGGTGCAGGAGGTGACAGAGATGGTGGTCATGAAGGTGATGGTCGACCGGATGGTGCTGATGGCCATGATGTGGCCGGTCTGGGGTGGAGAGAGTGGAGCTAACACCAGACGTGAACATTGCCTTATGAGAAAGACATAGTACAGAAATGTCAGAAAGACATCTCCAACATAAGCATAAGTGAGCATGAGTCTTCACCACACACACACACACACACACACACACACGCACGCACGCACGCACGCACGCACGCACACGCACGCACTCATGCACGCACGCACAGAGTTCAGTTTCACTGTAGAAACAACTATTCCACAGCTTCTGTCACCACCTGCCTCTCTGCTGGTGACAGACGACTCCCACCGCGGTTTCCCGGTGTTCTGTCTTCAGCGCGGGCCACCTCCTGAGCCACAGACTCAAATATTTGCTAGGTAATACAACGCTCAGGTCCCTGGCACAAAGCATGATTCAAATGCATGTGTCGAGTGAGTCCATGAAACAGTAGGGACCTCCGCGTGTAACCCTATCCTTCGACGTGTACAAAAGCAGAGGGCTGTAAGTGGGGAGGGGAGCCGACTATTCCCTTCGAAAACATGAGGAAAAAAATAAGTCTTTTTCTACTCACATAGTTGTTGTGGTTACCGTGTTGTGGGACTCCCCCAAAAGGAACAACAGCGTTAGAACCAGAACAGGTGTATCCCCACACAGCTGCATAAGCACCATGGCGGGGACTGGTTGGTGCAGACCCTGGGTTTGCCTCTGAGTGAGGGACACTCAGTGAGATCTGATGGTAGACAGAGTTGGTCTCTAGTAACTTACCCAGTTCCTAGAATTTGATTTTGATTGATTCATTCATTAATTGGCTTCAGATTTTTTTTTCTTGGTTCAAAGGTGTGACCCACAAAGAAACGCAGAATGCCTGGGGGGCCCCTGTGTCAGACACACCCATCCCATCATGCTTCCTTTGGAGGGAAGGAACCTTCTGTGTAAACCTGTTTCCAGCCTCGTAACAGAGGCGTTATTTATTTTTGCATTATTTATTTTCCCCGAAGGCGGCAAGCACCTGACGGGGCCTGGTCCTCTGGTTCCCATGGAACAGTAAGGAGTTCATGCCTGGAGATGTGGAGCCGCTAGAGGCAGGTGGAGGCAGATAGAGGTGTTCTAGCAACCCGCACGGAAGACTTGGGCCCTCAGCTTGTAACTGATGCGGGTCCCCACTCAGAAGGCCAAGGCAGGGAAGGGCGCAGCAGGGCTCAGTGTCAGCAGGGTCTTTTTGATAGCAACAGGGCAAGTGGCTGAGTAGGGAAGAGCCTGGAACCTAGGGAGCAAGAAGAATATGGAAAGCAGGGGGAGTGGGACAGAGGCGGGGGGGGGGGGGGGGGGGGGGTGGCAAGAGTCTAAGGACCGTCCACCAGCTAGATGGAGGCACAAGGTGGAGAAGACTCATTGGTGTCTGCCCTCCCTGTGCTAGTGTGGATGGTGGTGCCACATGTTCAGACGCAGAGTTCGGGGGGAAGACGCATTTGGTGGGGATGGATGGGGAGACAGGTGGAGGTCAGATGTGTAGAACCCAGTGCCTTAGGACATCCAGAGCAAACTCTCCCATGTGGAGGTTTGGAGAGGTGTAACACTCAAGGTGAGTGTTGGGCATTGGTTGGGCTGTCCATATGGGATCCGTGAGGTAGCGTCACAGTGCGGGGAGTATGGGCCAGTGCGTGGTGAGGCCCCCCCCAACCCACACAGCTGGCTCTCAAGTGACTGTGCCACACCAGGGGTCCATGGAAGCAGCTGTTCTGTCCAGTTTATCCAAAAGGGACAGTGACTGTATGCAGCCCGTTAGAGCCCCAGAGAAGAGACTTTCCAGCTAAACTAGACAAGCCTGGGACTGCACTACTCAAAGGCAGATGCCAGCCAGCACTTGAGAACCTACTCAAAGAGCCATGAAGACAATTTGCCTGGTCCCAGGATTTGCCAGAAAGTATCCAGTCTCCAAAGACGTTTAATAACGGTAGTGAGTCCCCTGCCTCTAGAAGGCTACAAGCAGACGCCCTTTGTAGAATGAATGGTGGGGCCCCCTTTGTAGAATGAATGGTGGGGCCGCGTGGGTTCCAGAAGCCTGTTTTGGGCTCTGACGTCTTGAGTACTTCTCTCTCTGTTCCGTGGAACAGTAACTTTATCTTCAGCGCTTGGGACAGACTGAGGCTGGAGCACCCACTGAGCGAGGGAGGGGCACATGTCCACCCCCATCTCAGGGTGCTGCGCATCACTCCACAGATGCGGCAACTGGGCAGTCAGTTCCCCCTTTGGCTTGCAGTGAGATATAGCTGCTAAATCAATCATTCCTGACCCTGAAGCTACTGAACAAAAAGCCTCCACTTTACCCCTAGTCCCCAAGGACTGCGACCTTAGAACTACTACCCAAGCTCCATAGGGGCAGGACCCACTTCCTGTTACACGCCCTAAAACTGACAGAACACAACCAGGCTCTCTCATGCTGGCACAGAGGACTATCGGGCATTTTGGCAGGCTGGACCGATTAGTTCCATGAACCCCTGTGGTTATGAGCCAGGATGTAGATTTCCCTGGTGTTTGTCTTTTTAAGGCTGCGGGCTGGCCCTCTCCTCTGCCTGTGGTTTGGCAGGTGCTGGCTCCCCTTCTCAGTTCTGTACGCACATGTGGCCCAGACACTCACCGAACAATAGCAGCGTATGGGGCTTTCCTGTCGGGAAAGGTCTGTGTGGGAGACGACAGGAGGCAGGGAGAAGAAGGCAAGAGGGAAGAGGCGAGATTTCATAACCTCCCCCACTCTGGCATCCCCTGCCCCTGGGTAGCTGCTGCAGCCAGCTCTGCACTGGCCACTGCCTTTACACAGGAGGCTGAAGAAAGGACTCTGCAGGTCACAGATTTCTGCAGGTCACGAGCATCTCAGGACCCAGAGCATCCACCGCAAGCCTAGGTCCCAGGAAAGGGGAATCTGCTGGGGAAAGCAATTCCTACCGACTTAGAGGAAGTCGGTCTGAAGAGAAGACTCTCGAATCCTTGTGTAAACTGAATTTTGCCCCGAGCTAGACAGCTTAGGCCAGGAAGAACAGAAGAGAGGAGGAGAGAATCCTTCAGGTTGCCCCCAGCTGTCAGTGGCTCAGCTTAGCATTTTTCTCCATTATGATGTTTCTACTCACAAAAGAGAAACATCACTTCAATTCGGATTAGCTCAGTTAATGGCGAGCCCCCATGCATCACTGTCTTCCACTTCCAGAGTGCTACACGAGACAAGCTTTATTACAAAGCAAGCTTTGTGTTAGATGATGCAGCCCAACTATAGGCAAAACGTGCATGTTCTGAGCAAGCTGCAAGCAGCCCTGCCAGCTAGTGTGGGGTTGAGTGTATGGAATGCATTTTCTATTTAACGATTTCTTTAACGTACAACAAACTTACCAGAATACAACCTCATGGTAAGCCCAGGAACTTTTTGCAGAGAAAAATCAAAATATGGATCAAAGAGCAAGGGATTGCATCTTTGCAGAAAGATAGATGGTCTTGACGCTAGCTGGACCACAGATGCCTAAATGAGCACTTTACTTCAGATGGAAGAAGACAGGCCAGCATTCTCCACCCAGCTGTATGCAGAACTCCAAGTATAAACTCTGAGGTTAGGTTAGGTTAGTCCTGGAAGAAAAACCCTACATTTAAAACGGTTCTCTGGGCTGGAAGGATGGCTCTGTCAGTGTCTGCTGTACAGGCATGAAGATCTGGATTCAGATCCCCAACATCCACATAAAGGCCAGAAGTGGTGACAGACATCACATAGACAGGGGGATCCCCGGAGCTCACTAACCAGTCCACCTAGTTGAACCAATAAGCACCAGGCTCAGTGAGAGACCCCCGTCTGTCTTTACTAATAAGACAGAGAGCAAATCAACTAAGGTACAAGACACTGACCTCTGGGCTCCATACATTTGCATACCCAAGTGGGTGTGCACCGGATGCAAGCCTGCACATACACACGGGAACACACACATGACAAAACACACACATAAATATTCTTGCAGCAGCACATGCTAGAACAAGGTAGTTTCTTATCTGGAGGCATTTGACACGTGTGCCAGGTAGGCCATGCAACTTCTAAACCGCTTCCTAGATTAACCCATCTTTAAAGCAGGGCTTGAGAGATGGCTCAGCAATGAAGAGCACTGGCTGCCCTTCCAAAGGAGCTGGATTTGATCCCCAACACCTACATGGCAAACTCTCTGTAACTCTAGTCTTAGGGGATATGACACCCTCTTCTGACTACCAGTGGCACCAGTCATGTATGTAGTATACAAACAAAACATGCAAACCCAAGACTCATACACGTAAGATAAAAACAAACAAACTGTTCTTTTTTACACCTTTTCGGTAGTACTTCTTCATTCAGTTACTTTGTACAGCTCAATCAAGTGCACAATCAGGGCCAAGGCAGGAACGTGGAGTTGTAAACAACATTCACACCCCCTGTGAGAATCAGAGAGAGAGACACCCAGATGGGAGTGGTCAGTCTACGCAGAAAGTGCCTGCCTGCATGCCAGATGGGAACCCTGGACAGAGCAGCCAGCAGCCCATTCCCAGGTGCTAAATACCCAGGTCTTCAGTGTGTAGCAGGTCCCAAGGCCCCAGTGGTCCACATACACACCCTCTGTGTGTGACTTTGGAGCCAGCCTGACCTGTGGCAGAGCCCGACAGGCAAACATAACCAGGACAGACAAGTCTGTGGCTCTGCTGCTTCCAAAGGGGGATGGGCGGCATCCCCAAATACCTTTGGAGCTTTCTTCCTTCTCAGAGCTTGGAACTGTGGAGCAGAATATAATGCCATTCATTAACTTGTCTAGCCAATAATTTCCAACAACTCTCCTTCCTTAGTACCTGGCAAGAGGTCTGAGCAAGGTTTACCCTCATTGGCCTTTAGCACCCGGTCTTAGCAGGATGGGAGAAAAAAGTGTGGACTTGGGAGTTAGATGTTAGAAAGCTTCAAGCTGGGCGGTGGTGGCGCACGTCTTTAATCCCAGCACTCGGGAGGCAGAGGCAGGTGGATCTCTGTGAGTTCGAGGCCAGCCTGGGCTACAGAGTGAGTTCCAGGACAGGCTCCAAAGCTACACAGAGAAACCCTGTCTTGAAAAACCAGAAAGAAAAAAAAAAAAAACTTCAAGCAGAACTGACCCAAGCAAGTTGAGGCCCCCTGCCCCCTGCTGGGTAGCTCCACCATTGATCCCTCTGTAGCTCCTTGCTTCACTGACAAAGATGGCTTCTTAGGGGACCAGCGGGTGCATTTGGGAGCTTTTCCCAGAAGGCTTGACAGTTAAACTGTTGCGGCTTCTCCGAGGGGTGTTTTTGAGATTGGTTAATTAATGTTTACAAGATACACGGGGATCTGAGGATAAAAGGCTTTGAGTAAGGGCCAGCCATTACTACCCCGATGTTGCTGGTAATGGTCCAAGCTCAGGCAGGCTGGGGTCCAGAGTCTTCCAGCCCGCCCTCCTGCCTCATCTTACCACCCACAGCCATCAGGAGGGCTAATGAGAAAGAAGTTAGGAAACAGTTGCAGGTGGATCCACCAGCAGGGAGGGCTTTTCATCTCTTGAGTTATCACAAAGGGAAGCGAGGAAGCATGGACGGACAGGACTCCGGCTCACTTTATTTGATTAGACCTCTCACAGTGTGATAAACGACCTCATGATCCACCCCACAGTGTTTGTTTATGGAAAGAGGCTCACACCAAGAAATGAGCCAAAAGGTGAAAAAGAATTCCCCTCCCTTCCCATTCCCCACCTATGGCACTACGGCAGGGGAATGGCAGCCATTGAGGGCTGGATCCTTTAAGGGGCGGGGCGGGGGTAGTAGCAGGAGCATTGTTAGGGTGAAAAGGACTTGAAACAGTGTCACTCCCAGCGATTCACCCTTTCCTGTGAGTGCAACCGCAGACTTACTCAATAGTTACACAGGCATCTTTAGCCTGCAGCAATTAGCTGTAGCAGGACCTGGCTCCACTCTGGGTCGTCCTCCAGGCTACCTGCACTGCCCTGGGTGACCAGTGGAGCTGTGCC